TAATTTTTAGTATTCACCCTCCAATTTTGTAAACTCCAGGAAGGACGGAGATTGTCTTTGCAAATGAACGCAGAGCTGTTTGTGAAACCGGTGGCAGGTCTGTCCTTGGCCACCTTTCTTGTCAGTCACCCGCATTACAAAAATAATCTGAGAAGTTTTATCCAGGATATCTACCATGCCTTCTCAAGAGTTAAGTTTCAGAATGTACCCAGGCATAGCCCTTCCACAGCCCCACACAAGTACTTTTGTTTGTTTTTCTTCGGCGTACCAGAATTTGTTCACCCACTTCGGAATCAAACCTACCACCACCTAACATGAAGTGTTTGCCAATTAAGTGGGTCCACTCATCTAATAATAAGATAGGTGTTACTAACTATGAGGCAGGTGTCACTGTCTTCTATGTTGTCTGCAAACAAAAACTTTTCTTTTTGGAATCAGGGTCTCATGTAGCCCAGGACAGTTTGGGACTCACTATGCAGTCCCTGAAAGTTGACTTAAACACCCAAACTTCCTGCTTCTTCCTGACAGTACTTCCTTACAAGTACTGTCATCCTATTTATGTCTTTTTCACTGTTCATTTAAATCTTCCTCAATGTCACAGGCGTGTAGGGACCTTGGAAGGGTGCATAACTGTCCGAGTCACTTAAGACTCACCATTACTGGCCACTGAAGGGAGAACCCTAAAAATTCAGTAGGTGCCTCAAAGACAATCTAATTCAGGTGAGGTCTCACCCTGCACAGTTAAACTCAATTCTGCTATGTGGATTCTTGTCTAAAATGTCAAGATTATGTGGATTATGTGGATTCTTGTCTAAAATGTCATTCTCTATAACTGTTGCTACTTTCAGTCCCTTTCAAAAACTGTGACAAATTGTAAAGCATGGCCAGTAACCGTTAAGAGTCCTCAGTAGTATTGAATAATCTTTGTCTTAGGCAATCCAATATCATGTTGCTGATTTGGTTTCCCTACATGGGAAAGCAAACTGCTAACCGGTGCCAAGTTTAAAGAACTGCTTTGTAAACTTAATTCATACCATTTTGTAATCTTAAATCATACCAGTGCTTGCCTGGCATGCCAAGACCACAGGCTCAGTCTTCAGTATGAAACCTACATCTGGATGAACATAACAAATGAGGTTACTAAGGGCCCATTTTTCACCAATAGACTTCATGTCCTGCCTCACCTAAAGGATAAACCTGAGGGACTGTCAGAGCTATGGGGACTATTATTACAGCTTCTTATTCTTCCTGTTGGTGGGTTGTATGCACTCAGTAAAAGTAACACCTTGAAGTTTCCTTACTACTTGAAGAAGCACAAATGACAGAGACTAGGAAAGTGAGGATTCACATTAAAGTTTTCACTGGAATTTCTCTACACAGTGGATCGTGCTCATCTGATAAACCATGGGTTGTCAAGAAAAGGGCCAATGCCAGGTGTGGGACACCTCCCCTCAAGCTGTTCACCAGAGGTGTCCTGGAGACCCCAGGGACAATACAGACTGTTGGCCTTGCTCTCGTTTGCCCATCAGAACTTGACAGTAAAACTCTATTGCTGAAGACACGGCACAGATGCAGCACAGGATATGGAGGAATCAAGCTGGTACTGACCAGGCTAGCACACCATGTACTAGAAGGTGCTGTGCAGGATGCTGAAGGACAGAAATCATCCGCTGTTTTATCCAGCTGTGACCACCTGTGAACTCCCAATAATTCCCAGCATGGCAGAATATGCCCGTGGGTACAATAATAGCGTGAATGTTACGCAGGTCATCAAATACTTCCTGGTTGGACTTAAGGCTTGCTCCACAGGAGGTGAAACCCACCTGGTTGCTACAAATCTGACCAAAAACAACTACTATTTTGCTAAGTGAAGCTAGCATCAATCTGCCCTCTAAATTCCTCTCTCTGTGAACAGATCCGTGCAGTTCACAGACCTCTTCAGAAACGTTCCTTTTGTGCAGTGGATGGTGGTTAACAAGAAACCACTGTTCACAGTGCCTGAACATGTGCCTGTGGAACGCTCAGCATCACACATGGGACATCAGCATCACCACTGCACCACCCCAAGGCTCGGGGACCATCTTTTTAAGACCCAAGGTTCGGGGAGGACCAAAGCACCCGCTATCTCGACATGCCAGGATCCCTGCACTCATGAACTCTCAGTGGCGGTGGTTGCCAACAGAAGGGCATGCCTGTAGGATGTCTGCCTTCACAGGCACGAGGAGCATCCATTGCAATGGTAGCATTGCTGCTCCCTGCATCTTCCCCCTGGCTTTACTGGAATACAGGCTTCTTTACAGTTGCAAAGTTATTCATATACACTGTACAAATAATAATAGCAGGTAGCAAGGAAAGAGAATAAAACACACTTCAAAGCCCTGATCACATCTACTGGCTACAGCTTCATCTACCAAATTGTGGCATCAATACCACTACAAACACCCCACCTCGCCCCCAAGAAAACCAGTGTAAAAAAAAAAACGCAAAAATCTCCATAAAAAGTAGGTATTAGTGGTTTGGTGGAGGTCACTTAGAGATGATTAGAACTTTATGCCTCTTGGGTTGGGGTGTGGCTCAATAATAGAGCACTTGCTCAGCATGCCCAAGACAAGCCCTGGGTTCAATCCCCAGCACCACATAAAATTAAAAGGGGGGGTGTGTGATGCTCTTTAACTGCTCAGAAAAGCCTGGAAGAAAGGTCCCCAGACACAGGTGAGACACACTGTCACACTGAAGACAATTATTTCAGCCACAATAGAGGTCACTGAGAATAGAATTTTGGGAGTTGGGGTAATACTAAAAGCCAGTCATACTGAAGAAAACAAACCCCTAGAAATAAATGGAAAATAAAGCATGTGGGAATGAAGGGGTTTTAATGTACATGTTCATATGTGTCAGCGTACATGTCAGCAAGCATGTGGAGGCCAGAAGTTCATGTAGCGTGCCCTCTTTCTATGAGGATGCAGGTCTTCATGCTCCCATGGCAAACACTTTACCCAGTCCTGAAGTTGAGGATCCTAAAGGTCAGAGCCACTTACATGTCTGTATTTGAACAATAAAATTGCTTGAATACTGCTGTGTGCTTGGACTCGGTAGGAACTGAGTCTCCAGATCACTGGATTACACAGCCTTGTGATGAGTACACAGACTCACAGCCTACATCAGAGTATAGAAATTGCAGACTTAAGATCTGCTATTTTACTTAAAAGTGGCAATGTTTTATATTAACTGTGACTTTTTATAATCAATCCAGTTAGATGAGAGTGGTCACTAAAAATGAGGACTACTCTATAGTCACATGTCTCTTTGCTATGAAAAAAAAAATATGACCTTCAACTGGTATTAAAAACTATCCAAGCCAGGCATTGGTGGCGCATGCCTTTAATCCCAGCACTTGGGAGGCAGAGGCAGGTGGATCTCTGTGAGTTCGAGGCCAGCCTGGTCTACAGGAGTGAGTTCCAGGACAGCCTCCAAAGCCACAGAGAAACCCTGTTTCGGGGAAAAAAAATATATGTATATGTATATGTGTGTGTATGTATGTATGTATGTATATCTCCAAGAGGCTCTGGAGCGCTGGCTCATCAGTTCATAGTCCACACTGCTCCTGTGGCACGCCCAAGTTCAATTCCCAACACTGACATCTGCCTCTAACTCCAGCTCCAGGACAACCTGATGCCTCTGGCCTCCACAGCCACCTGTTCTTGCACGTATACACACAGACATACGTACAAACACAATGAAATAAATCTTACAAAAACTACTGAGGAATGCAGGGTCCTGACGTCACCTCCTCCCGCACACTTGCAGCGATAACCATTCAAGGTCTACTAGCAGCCAGTGCAGCTTCTCCGCTTAGGCTAACCCGCTGGTTCAATTCAGCTGCTGCTTTTTTGTTTATTTGGTTTTTTGTTTCGTTTTGCTGCTTTACATGTTAGGATCTGAAGAGTTTCAGAGAACTTACATAGATGACTCACCCCTTTCCTGAAAGTGGGGAAATAATAAAAAAGAACCCATACTCAAATTATAGTTTTTATTGCTTTCAAACCCTTCACAGAAAATGGTGTATACTTTAATGAAAAGATCCAGAAATAGTTCAAATTAAACCTTTTCCTGTATTCCAATAATTACTTCCAGTTGTTAAGATCATAACCTAGTTAATGAGTTCTCTCTTCCATTAATTTCTTGGGTTCTAAACTGGAAGAATTCTTTTAAAAAATTTTTCTTGTTAAATTTCCCACAGATTCTGCTTTTGTAAGGCCTCAGAGATATTTTCTTCCATTATTTATGACCTTAAATATCTAAGATTTCACAAATATTTGAGGTTCCTCTTTCGTTGTTTTCTTAGCCTAAAACACAAATCCCAGTAAAGTAGCCCAAATCTCTTTGGAATATTTCTATTAATTGCTGTGTTTCAAATTTCTTAAGTATCTGTGAATTCATTACAAATCTCCCACAAATATTTTGAATATTTCTGAATATTCTAAAATCCATGTTTAACTTTCTGAATTAGTCCTTAATCATTTCTCGTGACCTATTTAATGATGCAGGGTTCTTACAATAGATTAACTTTTTAGGTTAAGTGTAGGAAGATGTCCGGAAATATGATTCTCAATTTTTTCTTTCATACTAATCTCCCAAATTTACTCATATACATCCTCCTTATCACCACCACTATCGTTTTCCTCATGTGAGAAATCTCTTTATGAAATTTGAAGATGTCTTAGAAAAGAAAAAAAATTGCCATCTTACTCTATTTTTAACTGGTTACAAAAACAGAGTGGGACACCCAGAAACATTCTGTCGAAAAGATGTCGAAATGAAAAAAAAAAAAAAGACGAATTGGTAGGAAAGTGGTTATATGAATAATCACAGTGTTTCTCTAAAGAGACAAATTTCCACAAATCCTGTCCTCCAGGAAAATGCTTCTGGGATACCAGTTGATTTTAGAATACAAGCTTTATCCAGACCATTGACCTGTTAATAAACACTGAAACCATGAGTACTGATACACAGACTTTATTAAGATTTGTCACATATAATAGAGCATAGTTTCCATTGCATCCAAGTAGCAATCAAGAACGGCAGCATGTCATTTTTTAACAACTGACACTTGTGGCTTTTCAAATTTGGTTTGCAGAAACTTTATCCTCAATTAATTCTAGTCATGCTTTTAAACAAATGCTTTAGGTCACTCCAAGCTTGGCAATTAACATTTGGCATGGACAATGATAAAACAACCACAACAGATAAATAACAAACACAACCTCCTGGGCCATAACCACATACAGCAAAAGGAAATGGTAGTGAGTCAGTAGTTACCACAGTTAACAAAGGAGCTTAGTGGAGACATCTGGAAGCTCTGATTCACAAGCCCTGAGAGTTCTCCAAGCAGGGGCAATGTTTACAGGACAGCTTACGTCACTAACACACAGAAAACAACTACAGCATGATGGGCTCATTTGTATGAATGCCTTAAATCCTTCCGAGCTAGCAACAATACCTTAGTATAAAAAAATATTCAAGTTGTATTTCCCATAGAACTTTCTGTGCTTCCTAATGAGTGCCAAATGGATTTAATGGAGGCAGCAATTCCCTAAGGTGATCTATTTTAGCATTTTTTACAGCTCTCTAGACCTAAAGACTTTTAGACTTTTGGAATTATCAGTGATGAGTGTGGCCACATTTCAACTTACAGTAATATCATATGCTTGACTCATAATGTTATTTTGTCAATTTACCTGAAATTAAATTTTAATCTTATAAAAAAATGTGCAGGGGTAGCATAATAAATAACCAGTATGTTGAAATGGTAGCTTCGAATTACCAAGGATATGGAGGGGACCCTATGTTTATGCCACTGGTAGTTTGGGTTTCTGTATGAACAGAACTACTGACGTACATACACACCTGTCTACTTTAGTCTGGTGTGTTCAGAAACCCACGATATGGTCCTCGTACAAAAAACTGTTTATCCAAGAAAACAAAGTAGCTGGTGGTTTCTCCTTTAAAAGTAACAAATGATTCCAAAACTTTTAATAACCAGGATTTGGAAGAGAACAATTTCAGTTAAAAATCAAGTATACAGAGAGTCAAAAACAAAAAGATGACTCATAGAAAAGGATCAAACTAGAACCCCAGATGTAGAGTGATTTTGTAAAGTAGAAACACAGTGGTCACCCGCAGCTTCCTGTCACTCCGGTGAGAGCCTCAGGAATACCAGAGGCTCCGTGATGCTGTCTCCTACACAAAGGGCATTCGATGAGCACTAAAGGGTGTTTCCCTGGAGTGGAGGCAAAGGTGCTTTCACCTTGTTTAATTCACAAACTATTTGGTCAGAGAAATAAGTAAAGCTAAGTAAAAGCACATCTGGTAGAAATCTGCGGCCATGAGTGTTGACAAGATGTGCCTGGATCTCACTTGCAGCACCTGGCAGTGGGCAGCAGAACGTAGGTCAGCAACTCAGGGACTCTCCTCCATCTGTTCTGGAGGTGGCTCCGAGGTCGTGGCACTAGTAGCATTTGCTGTGGAATTCAGGACTTCTCCAAAATCACCGCCAGTAGGCTTGGTTGCCCCTACTTTAGACTTTTTTAAAAGTGTGGGGGGAAAAGAAGACACCATGAAACAAAATCAACAGCCTCTGCAGAAAGGAACTCTACACCTACATTGAAGAACAAATTGGGCCTCTCACCACCCAGTGATCACTATGTACATATGGATGAAGTGCTGCTGTACTGCTCAGGGTAGGTTATCAGAGAGACACACACACTCTCTTCCTTGCCGAAATGCTCTCCTTTCTCCTCTTCCTCCTCCCCCATCAGCTAATTGCCCTTCACCAGAAAATTTACTTAGGGAACTTTGTGCTCTACTGTCCCAAAGAATCCACTGACCTCTGTAGATGCTTGAGAAACATTCTGTAGTCATCTATTTCATTCAGCCACATTCTTTCAGAGATATTATTACTGAGCACAACAAATGGAAGAAATAAAAGTACCTATCCAGGTGCACTGTAAGCTTCTCAGTCCCATTATCCTACCTGAGTTCCTCACTACCCTCTTTACCTAGATCACTCCGACCTCTCAACTGCTCTTCCTGTTCGTGATCTGCACCCTACCTTCATTGTGAGAGGCTGCCAAAAATGCTTCTCGGAAAATGAACAAAAGGAGGTGTTCTTTAAATTGACTAATACCCTTCAATGGCTTCCCATTTCCATAACACCAGATTATCATTCCTCAAAAAAGGCCCTAAGGCCTTATGCATGTCTCCAGTTATATTACCAAGAGGCTTTTCTTGCTTTCCCTTCCTATGTGAGACCTTCCTCCAGGTTGACATGGTACGCTCAGCTTTCCGGGCCATAACCACATACTTAAAAACTACAGAAAACTGAATCCATCCAAAATCTCAGTGCACAGACATGTTGATCCAAAGCTTAAATGAATGTAAGTATAATTTGGGAAAATTATCCCAAGCATATAACACAAATATCTTTAGCAACAGTTGTTCTATATACTTTGCAAATTTACCTTTTTTAAAGATTCATTTATTTATTATGTAAACGGTGCTTTGCCTGCATGCCTGCACATCAGAAGAGAGCACCAGATCATTACAGATGGTTGTGAGCCTCCATGTGGTTGTGAGAATTGAACTCAGGACCTCTGGATGAGCAGCTGGTGCTCTTCGTCTCTGAGCCATCTCTCCCGCCTGTAAATTTACCTTTTACATTTTCATCTGTGCTGAATAGTTTTATGTCAACTTGACACAAGATATAGTCATACAAGAGGAGGGGATCCGATTGAGAAAATGCTGCCATAAGACCAGGTTGTAGGCAAGCCTATAGAGCATCTTCTTAATTAGTAATTGATGGGAGAGAGCCACCCCTGGGCTGGTGGTCCTGTTCTTTAAGAAAGCAGGCTGAGCAAGTAAAAGGGAATAAGCCTCCATGGCCTCCGCCATGTTTAATGATGGACGATGCTGTGGAATTGTAAGCCCTTTCCTTCCCAACTTGATTTTGGGATGGTGTTCCATCACAGCAATATTAACCCTAAGTAAGACATCATCTGAATGACGCTAAATAGGATTTGACAAATGAACTATATAAGACTCTCTAGATGGTTAATATAGAAAGTGACTGGGCAGTCCTTCCTCATCTCTGGGATCAAATGAACATGCGTTACTGATTTCTGACTAGCTATTTCAAAAACTAACAATACAGATGTGAAGGAGAGGCAGGCAGAGTTCAATCAATCTTGAAAACCAAGTTGCAGCAAACCTGGACTCTTTGCAATGCAACTTGTTTTCAGATGTAAGACTTGACATTGAGATGAATCAAACCAGTCTTGTGTTCAATCTGGAAAACATGAGTGTGATGGATGTTTGTATTCATCCAGTGCTCAGACAAGCAACATGCCAAGGGCAATGAAGTGTCCTTGCAATCACAGGTTCATGTATGTAAAGCTGTGAGACTGTGTGTACAGTGTGATTCTTCAGAGAGAAGAGGTCCATGCTAAAAATCCAGACCACTGTGCAACATTTGATCTTTAGTAAAAACATTCTGCCTTTTAATGGAAGATACCTTTTTGTTTTTGTTGTTTTTGTTTTTTAAGACAGGGTTTCACTGTCTAACAGCCTTGGCTGTCCTGGAACTAGTGTTGTAGAAGTCACAGAGATCCATCTGCCTCTGCCTCTCGAGTGCGGATTAAAGGCATGCGCCACCACTGCCTGGCTACGTAAGATACTTTTCAGAATGAGTGACCCTTCTGATGTTCTGAAAGAATAAACTAAATATGAGTGCTTTTAACTTATTTTCTTGAATAAGTTCTCTCACTGTAGCCAAGATTGGTCTTGAACTCACAATCCTCCTTTTTTTACCTCTCCAGTGATGAAATTACATGTGTGTATCAGTTTCAAACTATTTCCAGTACAATGAACAGGACTGAATAAAAAAAACCACCAAACAGGCTGCACACAAACACAGTAGAACAGAGCATCAGGAGTTTGACTAGGCACACATGGATGGCATTTGTGCTTCTGAGAGGTCACAGCTGTGTCTTTGCTTGTTTTTAGCTTTGGTGTTTTAGTGACAGAGTACCACTCTGTAGCCTGAGCTAACAGCAAGATCTAGGCAACACTCATGCCTCAGCCTCCAAGTGCTGGGATTACATGCATGAGCCACTATGCCCACTCAGAGTTGATGATTATTGTTATAATTTTGGAAATAATACAATTTACAAAGCTAATCATTATGGAAGAATGTACACCTCCAATAGGGGATCAAAGGAGGTAGATATTATCAAGATATACTTCATAACTGTGTGAAATTGCTAAACAATAAGAAAATATTTAAAATAATATAAGACAGTGACAACTTTTTAATATTTAATATTAATCATCAATATTAAAATAGGAATACTAATATTTATATTAACGCTTTAATATTATGTGCCTTCTAGGTAAAAAACTTAGAGCAAATTTTGTTGTTATAAGAATATTTGAAATAAAGTGAATGTCTGAAGAATTGCAGTTTTATGTTATCCATTCCCTGTGTAGCATGCTACAACACATTCATAAAAGCACCACAAAAAAGACTACAAAACCATGCAGTGTCCACTAGAGACACAAAGGGTACAAGTCTTAAAGTTCTCTATAGTTGTATGTGAACGATGTAAGGCAGTCAGCAGTGTGTCATGAAGATAGTTCACCTCTTTCCTTACCTTTAAGTTTTCAACCTTTTCTTCAAATGACTTGAAAGTTGGGGAATTTCTATGAAAATAGAAAAAAAAGAAAAATTATAACTCCTGTTAAAAAAAAGTCAGAAGTCTCTGAAGTATCAGAAATGACTGCATTTCTCTTTGCTGTTACTCACAATTAGCAAAGGAGCAGGTATTTATCTGCATGTATGTGCACAGGTATTGACATGTATGTACACTTACTATGTAAGACCAGCTTCTGAGCTAGTATTTCTACAAGTTTGCTTTTAAGTTCATGAAGACAGTCACTCTGAGAGATAAGTGATATTGTCATATGAATATGTACAGAAAAGGAAGAAGGCAGACAACATCAGCTCTGTCACCTCCCCAACAGAATGCAAGACAAGGCCACCACTGTGAGATGCCCTGAACTCAGGCACTATGCTTTAGAACTTTGGTTTAGCGTCTCATCTTGCAGGGCAGGATTCCCACGTGAGCACACGACACACTACACCATTGAGACAAACTGGGAGGGTCCCTTACAGGGACCCTAATTCCAAAAGAATGGTGTCAGACAGAGAAGGAAGGGACCAAAAGAAATAGAGAGCTCAGAAGCTAACCTTTACTCTTTGGGCTTTTGTCTCTCACCCATGGGTTCCTATCCATAGAACCTTAAATATCCACCCTGTTACACAGTTAAAAGGGCACAGAGGGGAACAAAGCCAACGGTTGTTGACATGTGACACCCCACCTTCCCCACCCAGGCCAGCTGCAGCAGCAGCTCTCAAGAACAAGATAGGAAAATGAACTCTTCTAGGGGTGGGTCCAGCATGCAGCATCATAACTACCCTTCTAGGTGATTCCTACACGGACTGGAGTCCAAGACGAACGAGGCTTTCTCCTGTTGAGCCTCTGCCTCCCTAGACAGATTAAGTTAAGGCTGATTACGAGTGCCCACTGAAGAAAGCTGGCTCCAAAGGCCACTCTGTGACAGAGCGGGAGGGTGGAAGAGCAAGGGGGCTTTAACCAAAGCTAGCAGAGAAGGAACAAAATAACCCCCAACAGCTAGGAAAGCTTCTTTCTACACTGGCATGTGTTTTCCAATTCAACTTGTCTCAGACAAGATTTCATAAAATGAAATTGAAATAGTAAAAGTTTTTTTTAATCAAAACTTTGTTTTGAATCTCATGAATCCATTCCACCATTTTAAGAAAAATAATGTAAATTATAATAGTGTTAAATGCACAGCTTGCTAACAGATACAATTCTAGCTCCCTTCTCGATGGTTTGGGTTTAACATCCAAACAAAGGGCAGGAAGCATCTTGTAAAGACATACTTTACCTCATAGCAGGCATGCTAATCGAATGCTGAATGGAGCGTATACTGAGGCAGCATTAAAAGAGACAGAAACAAGTTAGTATGTAGTGACCCGACATAAGAAGCTGACCCTGCTTTCTGATATGCAAGGCTTTCTGACAGGTCATTCTTTTGGCACTGTGAACAATGATCTACTTTTTGAGGTGGGAGGGAGATGTCAAAGCTATTCCAAAAGAATTTCCTTCCACTCATAAGCCAATTTCAACCAAATCATTATTGGTAGTAATAGACAAGCATGTCTTCCCTCGAGCTGTGAAAGCTGTCACTTGCTTTTACCTGCTCAAGGCTCAGAAGGGGAAAGGTAACCCAAGGTAACAGCAGAAAACTGAGAACGGAACTTGGGTCTTTAGGAGTCTTCGTTCAGTGTTCACGACCTCCCCTCAAAAGTGAAGCGTGCACACACACACAGAGGAACACACACAGGAGCACACACAGGAGCATACACAAACCCCTGATGGACATACACACACACACACACACACACACACACACACACACAGGAGCACACACAAACCCCTGATAGGCCACAGTGGCCATCTTTCTCTAAGTATTTGTTTCTAGGCTGGAACAGGGCAAAATCTATCACCTGTTTGATAACTAAGTTATTACAAATTCCACAGCACCCATCAGCAGTACCAGCCTCTGTCCCTCGCTTAGAGATGCTCATACTTTATCTCAAGACTCCCTAGATTGTTCATGTACCATTCAGCTCTGTACATTCTGAGGTTCTACCCCATAACAGTACAACCCACTGGATGGCAAAGCTTTTGAGCCTGCTCTGAGCTACCCTCCCTAGACACCAGCTCACCAGCTGACAATGTCTTCATTCTTGGGTTCCTAAAAACAAAAAACAAAAACACCTCTGTGTTTTGCTCTTGCTCGCACTGCTGTTTTGCACATAATATTTTGGTCACTACCACAGGTTTTTATTAAGTAATCTTTCCTTTTGGTAAAGCAAACAGTTCAAATATTAATCCTTAATGACATTTAAAAGTGTTTGTGCTTATGACTAAGTTTCCTCAGAGACTGTTGTTACAGCGGGCAACGTGCTATGTGGTACCAAGTTTAGCTTGACATTACTATGTAATTATACATATGATCTGGATATACAGATGAAAACAGAAACTCTGTAATAGAGAGAATTGGGACACCACTGTGCTGTTCTGTTTGTCACACAGCAAGTTCTCCACCCTACAGAGGAGGCCTTGCTATGGCTGCATCTTGGGCATGAATTACACTGGAGGGGGAAGGTACCAGTTCTTCTATTTGATTCTTTCAAGTGTACCGTTCCCATAATTGTAGGGAAGACAATCCTTCTAAATTCTGAACAGCAGAACCTGAATCAACACATAGACTTCTAAAGAAAGAGCCCAGGGGCTAGAGAGATGGTTCCTCTGTTAAAGGCTAGACTCACAACCAAAAACATAAGAAAGAGCCCAGAAGAGCCACATACCTACAAGCACATTTGACCCTGACTCCTGTGATACACCTGAGGAGCACCCCAGCACTTCTAAACTCCTGTCAATCTGCAGATTGTCAGCACCGAATGGGGTGTTTGGAGCTATGACAACAGCCTGACCCTGAAATCAGACAGGAAGCTGCTGTCTCAGCCTGGAGTGATCTCTGAGCAGGAATGTCACACCAACAGAAAGGCTGTGGAGGAACCGTCAGACCATGGAAGAACCCTAAAACACAGAGAAAGCCTGTTTCCCAAGAAAAGAGAAATGGAAGCTCAGTCGGGTTAGGAGGAGGGAGAGACAGCCATGCAGGTACAAGGCAGGGTAGGAGAGGGCAGACTTCCAGATGTCCTAGGTTTCCAGACGCTACCTCGGACTATTCAAATAGTCAGGCTGGTTCGAGTGAGGCTGGGCTTCTGTCTCCCCATTCCTTAGTTTACCAACAGTTTTGTATTTGTGCAAAGCATTCCCTTTTTGCATTGAACTCACACATGTCACTTTCTGTTCCTCAACGAAAACATCCTTCACTAGAACATTCCCTTCATGAGAAGCTACTAAGTTCCGTCCACAGAAGGTAAGTAGTGGCCAAATATGATAAATTGATTGTTGACAGAATTCACACACAATTTGACAAGATTAACAAAGGGAGGAAATACATGGATACAGTTTCAGTTTTTAAAAGGCACACATAAGCCAGGCGGTGGTGGCGCACGCCTTTAATCCCAGCAGTCGGGAGGCAGAGGCAGACGGATCTCTGTGAGTTCGAGGCCAGGCTGGACCGACAGCCTCCAAAACAATACAGAGAAACCCTGTCTCATAAAAAAAAAAAGAAAAAAAGGCACACACAAATCTAGGACTTGTTCCTACCATCATATAAAAAGCTTTTAGACTGGGTTTTCTTGCCAGTACACAAGCTAACACATATTAAATATGCCTCAGAGACAATTTGTTAAGAAAAGACAAGGATCTGTTTATAATAAGGCTTATTTTATGAAAAATCACTGGGCTGAATTTGGGTATTTTTCTGTAGCTCCACTTTACAATTAAAAAAACAAAAACAAAACAAAACTCCTAAAACAGAGAATGAAGTCAATGGCTTTGAAGGCAAGGTCTCTGCTTCTGAGAGCCATCTTAGTGGGAAGAACGAGTCGTACACATCAATCCAACCCTGTCCCATCAGCGAATCCCCTCGACAGCCACATCCAGACGGCACTTCACTTGGTGGGCAGCTAGGCCGCACTGAGTACAGGGGCAGCTGCTCTTTCATTCCTGGCTCCTCCTACACAAAGTTAGACAAAGCTTCCTCAACTGACACATCATGTCCAATTTCATTCAAAGTTGAACACAATATAGAACCTTCTAGAGCAAAAAGCCAGAGTCACGGCTTGAGAAGCTATGGGGATCCATCACATTTGGGAAGCATAATCTGTTAACAATGTCCCACCTTGATTTGTGGACCTCAAAGCGGCACACAAAGATAGGCATCTCCAAGCATGACGAGGACACGCAGCACAGGGAGGGCTGCCTCTCAGTGCGACCTTCTCCATCCCAAATTCGCCCTTACTCATTCTCATTCTTTTCAAAAGCCGAACTAGCTATTTAATTTCTTTCTAGTTTCTGACACTGTTGTTTGATCCTTCCATCTCTAATAATGAGGATGGACGGAGCAAGGACGTGAAAGAAGGACCATGCAGAGAAGACCAAAGGCTGCTGTGCGGATACCGGGCATGTGGCGGGCAGGCTTCTAAAAGCAGTGCCACGTTGCTCTCACACAAGCAATACAAGAGCAAGAGTGCTGGCCAATGCCCAGGGCTCAGGACTCACTCTCCAGCGCATTGCTCTGGGGAGAGAGTCAGCTCTGGGACCAGCTGCTGGGTTCAAATCCTAACCATCAGCCACTTACATTGGCTTTGTAACCTTGAAGTCATTTAGTCTCCCTGTAGCTCAGTGTCCTCCCAACTATAATACCAAAATAATAACCACACCTACTTTGGAAGTGCTCACATTTTCTTACTCAACATATAACCATTAGCCATTATTATGACATCATTTTCATGGTAGATTATCTCTCTTAAAAGTTTCTAGTATCTGCAGTTCTTAGGACAGGGTCTGACACGTAATTAACATTTAACAACTACATCAGAATGAATGAACACTTTTACTAACTAAAATTGGGAAATGTGAAAGGTGGAGAAAGTTATTACAATGGTTCAACTCCCAATCAAAAGATACTGTTTCATAGAGATTTCTTTTCCCACAAAGACCAGAAGTTTCCAGCAAAAAAGAATTGTCTAAAATGACCTTGATAAACCCCAAAACAAATAAAAATATTGATTGATATTTTATATATATATGTATGTATATATGAAGAAATACTCATTTGAAATGAAAACTCCTGGTGAAATAAACACAAAATGAACTGGCATTTCTTCCTAGATATGTAAGAAGCGAAACAATGGAGTCACTGAATCATTCCTGGATGCTGTGAGACCATTGCTTGTGTTAAAAGGCAGCAGTGGTTAAAGTGAGAAGGGACTTCTAAAGGAGTTCTCCACATTATAAAAGCATCACTTGGTATGTTGCCTTTATGTATAGAAAAAAAAAAAAAGAAGCGGAAACATACGTACTACTTTCAGGGGTGGTCAGTGATTGTCCCCAGGGACCTCAGGGATCAGTTTTCATTACCTTGTCCCACCAAGATCCCAGCCAAACTGAGCTCTCGTTTTCAAAACATCAGAGAGCTTATTCTCATACATTCTCTCCCTGACTCCATCTCTCCTCTCTTTACCTCTCTCCTGTCCTTTCCTCTCCTCCATCCCTCCCTAAACGAGACAACACTGTTACAGATATCGAAATCTCAAATGTTATAGATATCTAAATCTCAAATGCTAACTCATTAACTGATCGTATTTTTAAAAAAGAAAATACTAATGCTGAAATCTTTGAGTTAGCAAAACACAGTACATTTCTCTTTCTACATCCAAAATGACATCAGCATGAAGTCACTAGTCTGGAGTTGGCCACATGAGGATGACTCAGGACAAACAGTTAATGGTTTTAACCATCTGTTTCAGAGCAGTGCAAAAGTGATCTCAGATGTCCTCTTAGCTCCCACCAGAACCCCCCGGATGGGGATCATGCTGCTGGGGCTGGGAACCAGCCTATCTCCTTAGATGGTTCCTGAAGGAATGTGGCCAGAATTTTCCTCTCTGACCCTCATGATCTGAGAGATGTGACTTGTTTTCTTTACATGCCTGAAAACATGAAACTAGATTAAGTGGTTTATGCTGATCTCTGATCTATAAGAACTACAGAGCTTAGAAGACAAACCTTTTTCCTCTGTTTCCAAGTTTTCATCAAAAGACTTGATTTCTACATGGTGATATACACTAGTTATTTGTCAGTAAAAACATGACAAGCATTTACACCACTCCCATAAAGTTCAAGATACATTGTGGAAGATGGGGCAGAAAGAATACAAGAGCTAGCCAGGCAGTGGTGGTGCACACCTTTAATCCCAGCACCCGGGAGGCAGAGGCAGGCGGGTCTCTGTGAATCTGAGTCCAGCCTGGTCTACAAAGTGAATTCCAGGACAGGCTCCAAAACTACACAGAGAAACCCTGTTTTGAAAAGCAAAAACAACAACAACAACAAAAAGAATACAAGGGCTGGAAGATAAGGAGAAGGCTATGGAATGTCACCTTGTAAGCCCGATACAGTGGTGGCAATCGTGTAATTCCTAGGAGCTATGCCTAGAAGAAAGGACTTGTGGGGTCTCACTGCTGAACTGCTAGTAGCTAATAGATTCTCGGAGATGGGGAGGCATAATATTGAGTTGTGTACACACTGGTGAGCCTACAATGCTGTGATGGTTAATTCCAAACCTAGGGTAACACAGATGGCCCTAGTGAAATTCAGTGGGGCACTGAAGTAATCAAAAACTAAAGAACATGGGAAGGGCATCTGTGGAGAGCAAGGGGAGCTGGCAGTGGTGGCAGTGAGGGAAGAGTGGGCTGGGGAATGTATTTTATACATGCGTGAAACTCTCAAAAACAAAATTTATTAATTTAAAGATAGTGCAGTACAATCAATATTTCTAAATGAAATAAGGTAACCTAAAAATACTTAGAAGAGCAAAACTCTGTTTCTGATGTAATAAGATGGTACACATTGAACTTACTTATACACATCAGCGTTAATCTTGCTAACAGTGTGGGAAAAGAACGAAGCATGTCACTCTCCACAGGCATTTGTGTTCATGCCACACATGACACCGCTTGAAGACCAAGTACTTGCAAGTCCTCGATTCTCAAGGCCCTGGCTCCTTCCTCCACACCACTCAAAGACACCTGTTCCTGTTCTGACAAGAGCTGTGTCTGCTTTCTGGGTACGGCCTTCACATCTTGCCACAGCAGGCGCTCTTGTGCTAGAATGGCTTATGTGACTCAATTCTTACTCATTTGCCTCCAGCACTTAAGCCACTTTTCCACAGCTGCTTATCGTTGGTTACTTGATTTTTTTAAAATCATAATCTCAACTTTAAACAGTTCAACAATGAGAGTTTATGTATGTATCCGTTGGCTTATCCAAGAGAAGGAGAGGGAGTAGAAAGGCAACCATGAGAAGGAGGCGATCGGGAGGGAGGGAGGGAGGGAGGGAGGGAGGGAGGGAGGGAGGGAGGGAGGCTAGGAACATCAGAGGATAATGGAATTCATGTAACACAAAAAAAGAACAGAGGACCATTGGTGGGTAGAAAGAGACCAGTGAGGGGTGAAGAAGATGGGGGGGGGGAGCCATGATGAATAACAAGAATATATAATGACATATATATGCAAATGTCATAATGAAACTCATCACTTTGTAATCTGACTTTAAAAATTACCAACCAGAAAAGGGAGACAGGATGGAAGGAAAAGAACAGTCGCTGCTAAGTCATATCACGGGTCCCTTACGGCAATGATGACAACAGTCAGAAGAGAGATGGAGACCGAGGTACCCTCCTGCTTACTGTCTAAGGATCTCCCACTACCTCCTCCAAAACCTACAAATATAATCACATAACCAGAGTCATCACAGGGACTCCTACAGGCACAATGTGTACTTTCTAACACCCCCTTTCCACTGACAAACCATAAACCTATGGTCAAAGAACAGCTAGTGGAGAAATAATGAAACTGTAAAGTCTACAGGCTAGTAAGGCAGATATTGTCTGATGTCTGCATACTGAAACCTTTATAAGATGGAAGAGTTAATACCACGAGACAGTACATATGCAGTCTATTATAATTACGTAATAGGACCCACATGAAGAATTCCAACATCCCTACAAAAAAGCAACAAAAAAACCAAAGCATCGAAAAACAAAGTCAGACATTAAAAGGGAGGAATTCTGTATGCCATGGTAAAAATAATAATAATTGAAACTTCAAGAATCATCTCCATATCCCTTGTGCTGCAGTGTCAAATTCTTCTTTCAATTGGTCCATTACACATGGTATACGAGGAACCCTCCATTGGAGTTAGAAATGCACTCAAGCAGAAGCTACTGTGAATGCAGAACCACATGGCAAACACACACGAGCATCTGCAGAGACATCAACATCTCATCTCTCACACTCATCTCACACAGCTGCTAGGCAGCAGCAGACATTCAGCTCTCCTTACCTAAAGGAATGTGAAAAGGCTTGCAGTCTGTAAGAAGCCAGAGGAAGCATTAAAACAGACAGGAAGTTCTGACCAATCCATCACAGTTACATAACCCGCTTTTATGAGGGTGCGTGTTTTCCAGAGCCCCTAAAGCACTAAAGAGTCAGTCAGCATTCAGAGGCGTGAGAGCGTCTAGGAAGCGCTCCATAAGCATGACTGTCGGAGGTTCAGGAAATCTATCCTTAAGACAGATATTAGAACAACGGTACTCTCAAATATAATGGATGAGGAAATGGATTTTAACACACAGTATGAAATACTGATTTACCAGATCAATTCAACTAACAAAATTCTGGTTGTAAAACCTATCATTCCCCACACATAAAACAATACAAAGTCATGCGATCGAGGCTTAGAAAAAGACAAACAGAAAGTGTGCACACCAACACAAGTACAGCCCATAAGCCATGTCGTCCATGTTCCGCTCTATCTAATCGTGGTGGTAGATGGACGCCCAAAGGCACCATGAAGTGATCTTGCCAAAAAGACAAGAAAAAAAAATCTGAAAATTAATCTCAAATACAAATGCACAGTTTTAAAAAAGAAACTCAAAGTCAAGACCTGGGCCTGATCGTGAATATATGTAAAGCTCATGGGTTAGTACAAACCAGTGCACGCATGAGCACCTTGGAACCACACCGGGACATACAAATATCACACACAAACAGTGAAGCCCTCAACCCGAGCAGGCGTGCATCTCAGCGCTCTTGTACTTGTCCCCAGAAAGACCCGGCTCTGCCCACAATCACACGTTTGTAAACACCAGAGACACACTTAACACTGCGGGACTGAGGACTGATGCAAAAGTTTGCAACCAGAATTTCTCAACAGCCCTTAAAGGGACTCACAAGATGCTCATTTGGAGGTTACAATACTAGGCCTAGAAGAATTCAGGCAAGCACTTCAGGCCTTGGTGTGAAGAGTCCTTCCCCACTCTAACAGAAGAAACATGGCAGCACCCCGACCCACAGACAGGGACCAACAGTGATCACAGCACCAGTTCAGGCTGCCACGACTCCTGGGTGAGCGAGGGAAAATGCATACGTACTTTACATCTTCCAGCTTTTTGGTGATGACTGAGCCAACGGATGAAAATGCAGCTGAAGCCTTCTGTCCGGCCTGAGATAAGGTTTCAGATGTCTTCTTGTATCTACAGTCAATTACGATAAACAAGGGGGAATGTCAGCTATGCTTCTCTATAAATTCTGGTGCAGTGTCATCACCTGTTGAAGAACTCAAGTTAAGAACTGCTAATGTTTTACATAACTATCAGGGCAGCAATGATCCCTCCACCATGATCTTCTGCAGTGTCCTGGACAGAGGTTTAGAAAGAACTGGACCAAGTAGTTAGGGTGTGCCCTCCCACAAGAAAGCTGCACTTGTATTCAAAGTTCCACAAGGCCAGGCCCTGGGCAGGTAACTCAGCCAATAAAGTGCCTGCCTTCTAAGGACCAGAGTCTGAGCCACAGACCCATGTGAGAAAGGCTGGGCGTGGAAGCAGACAAAAGGGTCCCTGGGGCTCACTGGCCAGCTGGCCTACCCTGCTTAATGAGTTCCAGGATAGTGAGCAACCCTGCCTCAAAACAAAATAATAATAAAACTTAAATTTTTCTTTAAATGGCTGGCATCTGGGAAACAGCAGTGAAGTTGTCCTCTTACCCCACACATACACACCAATATTCTACAAGGAAAAATACTGAACTTTGTGATTACAGACAGCAAATATTGCAGGCTAGAGACCACTTATCTCAAGATATTTTCATCTCTTTGAGAGCAGTTTCCCTGTGTCTAGCATCCTATGACAAGCGGAACCATTAAAAAATGTATGCTCAGCCGGGCAGTGGTGGCACACGCCTTTAATCCCAGCACTCGGGAAGCAGAGGCAGGCAGATCTCGGTGAGTTTGAGGCTGGGCTGGACCGACAGCCTCCAAAACAATACAGAGAAACCCTGCCTCAAAAAAACCAAAAAAAAAAAAAATGTATGCTCAGCAGATCATGAGCTGCTAATCATCCAAAAGCTAAGATTGTTGTCTAATAACATCTGAAACCTCCAAGAGTTTCTCCGTTGTGCTTTTAACTCGCCTACCTGTGGGCTTCCCGGTGGCCCTAGTCAACCACTGGATTTATTTATTCTGGAACCAATGCAATCTTATGTGATCACTTCTTTAGTAGAGCATATCTTTCAGGGCAACCTGAATCTCTGTTCATAGACCATAGTTTGTCACACGTGGCTCAAGGATAAACTATCTTTTCTTTCCCTCTACATGAGAGCTGTGTTTTAGGGGTAACACGCTAAAACCAATCATGAAACAAAACTGAAAATGAGTCAGATTTGAAACCTCATCTTTCTTTCCCCCTTCTCTACATCAACCAAACAAAGCAAAATGAGAATCAAATATCTCGGGTGCCTTTTAGATTGTTATCTAACATAAAGGGATCAGAAAAAAAGGTATAGTTCATGTAAATTGTAATATCCAAATAAATTTAATGGGCATACGAGAAAGTTTTTTCAGTTTGCTGAACCTACCACATAAGAACTTGCCCGACTTTCACATAAGAGATACCAATACACAAAATTATTATAGTATGTGTGGCAGTTTGAATGAAAATGCCCCCAAAAGGGAAAGGCACTACTAGGAGGTGTGGCTTTGTTGGAGCAGTTGTGGGCTTGCTGGAGGAAGGGTGTCACTGTGGAAGCAGGCTTTGAGGTCTTATATGCTCAAGCCACACCCAGGGTCTCAGTTCACTTCTTGCTGTCTGCCAGATGTAGAACTCTCAGCTCCTTCACCACCATGTCTGCCTGCACAGGGCCATGAAGATAATGGACTAAACCTCTGAAACTGTAAGACACCCAATTAAATGTTTTCCTTTGCAAGAGTTGCCATGGTCACGGTATCTCTTCACTGCAATAGAAACCCTAACTAAAACAGTGTGACATTTGCTGTAACATAAAAATAGAAATGATACTCCTCTTTGTAACTATTAACCAAGCAAAGCCATGGACTCTATCAAAAGGGTCAAGCTTCCCCACTGCAGAAATTAATGCTAGGTATTTTTTTTTCTTACCACATCAAGATCAAATACCAGTAACAAACATGGTTTATGGTTAATATAGTAAAAAATTAGTCCCTTACATGTTTTATTCTGCCAACTAACATGGGGAAAAAAATCAAACAAAGACTTGGGTATTGGTCTAATGATGTAGATCAATGGTAGACCATTGCCCAGATGAGCAAGGCCACAGGTTCAATTCCCAATACACGGAGGGAGAGGGAGGAAGACACAGTCAAGGTCCCCTCAGATACTGTCAAGTGAGGTAATGGATGGTCTCATGGCTACTGTTGTCAGTGGTTCCTAATCTTGTCAACTCACAAGCTAAACTCAAACACAAAAGGCAGATCTACTGCTAGAAGCCTGTTCCTCCCACACCAGGAATCAAAGTTGCATCTGCATGGTAATAATGCTGTATCACAATCTGTGTGATCACAAAACCAGAAAACTAACGGGCTGGTCTCTGCTATTAGCATACTTGAGAGACTGTGATGGAAAAAATCTTAGACTATTTATTAGAGCAGTTCTACAGATGGCCAGACCTGAATTCAAATCCTGAATCCACCACTTTGTAACCTCCAAATGTCATTTACCTGAACCTATTCCTTATTTGGGGTTATCTTACCACCTAATCTACTGGGTTATTCTGGGGACTAAATATCACTGTGTGCATACTGGGAAAACCAATACCCAGTAGTTCCATCCTTCAACTGATGGCAGTATGATCTAAGGTCACTAGTGGATGCCAATAATCGCAGCTTACACTGAACCCTATCTACACCTCATCTTCTCTTAAGTAGCCACTAAATAACTAAGGGTCGGGTGATATATACAAGGGATATAATGGAAAAGAGGATGAATCATGCCCCAAGCTATGCAAAACAAGATGACAAAAGAGTTAGTCATGTTACACAGAATACCATGCAATTTAAAACATCATGAGTTTTATGTCTAGAATTTTCCACTTGGTATTTTCTGACTATGAGGAATTAAAACCTTGGGAAGACAAAGAGAAAAGAAAAAATCAGGAAGGGAGGAATACCACCCAACAGAACAGTTTTGGAACTTGAATATGAACCGGCAGCCTGGACATGAACAACCTGTACATGAGAGCTTTTTGCTCTCTATCCCTTAGACTATTCAGGAAAACCAAAGCTAGAAAAGAATCGAGTGCTCTGAAGAACTGGAAGAAAATGAAAACATCTTCACCCCCTCCTTTCCCGCTACCGAAGGAAAAGGTGAAAAGGCACCCTTCACGTTGTCTAGAAATGTGTACAATCAAGGGGACATACGCAGAGGTCGCTGTCACGTCTTGCCACCCCTTGGCGATGTTCTGCTTGAATTCCTGAAGTGAACTGATCCCAAGTTTCCGCTTAATCTCTGCGAGATGTTTCTCTTTTGCTGCCAACACTTGAGACAGAGTCTGGATTTCTTCCTCCACCTATGAAGAACAGAGTTGAGGAGAAAATACAGCCAGAGCTGCTCTATAGTTATTAAGAACATCAACACAAGCCATGCTACCATTACTTTCAGGGGGTGGTCTATTTGTTCAAGACAAGAATTTCACTGTGCATTCTTGGCTGGCTGGCACTCTCTAAACAGACCAGGTTGGCCTCAAATTCACAGAGCTCTTTCCAGGTGGAGGTGGCACATGCCTTTAATCCCAGCACTTAGGAGGCAAAGGCAGGTGGATCTCTGAGTTCTAGGCTGCAGAGATCCACCTGCTTCTGTCCGAGCTCCGGGCCCATAGCCTCAGAGGGAGGCCCTAGCCTCAGGCCCATGAGTGCAGAGCGATCGCTGAGTGAGAGGATAGCAGTGCTTTCCAGCAGTAGCTTCCAGAGACTATCGCAAAAAGTTCCTCTAGGAAAGAGCATCTGTCCCAGCCAGCATCCACTGCTGCTTCTTAGTTGGAGATACCCTGCTACTACATGAACCACTGGACCCTCAGCCCCATCTCCACCCCCACCAGGAGGAGCGTTCGCCAGAGGCTCTGTTCTGCTTGTACCTGAAGGAGAGGTCAAGAGAGCCACAGCCCCCAACTATACCAACTGGAGAAAGAGAAAACCCCTGAAGCACAAGCTCCACCTATGCCAATTAGAGGAAGAGATGTGTAGACAACAAGGTAAGAGCACACCCAACAGTATAAAGAGCAATACAGCACCACTAGTGTCTAGTGGTGCCACAACAGCAAGACCTGAACAGCACAACACAGGTGAAGCAGAAGAAAATGACCTAAAAAGTAACTTTGTGAGGATGGTTGAGGACCTTAAAGAGGAAAAGAAAAATTACCTTAAAGAAATGGAGGAAAAGACAAAAAATTGGAAGAAATCAACAAATCCCTTAAAGAAAACCAAGAAAAAGCAATGAAACAAGTAAAGGAAATTATTCAAGCCATAAATCTGAAATAGAGGCAATAAAGAAAACACAAACTGAGGGAATTCTGGAAATGGAAAAATCTGGGTAAAAGATCAGGAACCACAACCCAAGCATAAACAACAGAATACAAGAGATGGGAGAGAGAATTTCAGGCACTGAAGATATGACAGAGGAAATAAATTCATCAGTCAAAGAAAATTTTAAATCCAACTAATCCTTACCACAAAACATGCAGGAATCTGGGACACCTTGAAAAGACCGAACCTAAGAATAATAGGGCTAGAAGAAGTCCAACTCAAAGGCACAGAAAATATATTCACAAAATCATAGACAAAAATGTTCCCAACCTAAAGAAGGACATGCCTGTGAAAATACAAGAGGCTTACAGCACCAAATAGACTGGACCAAAAAGGAAATAGGGTTCCTAAGATCTATATTCATTACAACTCATGTACCAAGGCTTGCTGCCCAGAGGCATCCTCAGCCCCAGTTGACCTGTTCCATAAGCCAATGATCCTAAAGCCAAGACAACCTTGGAAAGCACCAAACAGCTTTGCTGAGTCAGTTTCAACCAGCAAGTGTTTCTTTAGAACAGAAAGTGATATGCTGTTCAACAATGGAGAGAGGATAAAACAGAATCTCGGAAGGGAGGGAGGGAGGGAGGGAGGGAGGGAGGGAGGGAGGGAGGGAGGGAGGGAGGAGGGAGGGAGGGAGGAGGGAGGGAGGGAGGGAGGGAGCTATACCAGCACAGCACTGAGATTTCATTAACTGGCAACTGAGTCCAAAATAATTGCATAACCCTGTGCTCAGAGGATTCAAATGTTAAAGCTGGTTGTTCAGATTGTTCCGACACACACTGGAAAGTTGGGACAGAGGAAGGATGAACATAGTTGTACGATTCAGCCAGTTAGTAACAGTGAGCTGCCACCCCCGTTCTCAGACATCACCAAGAACGAATGTCTCTTTCTAAGTTTCACGGAGAGGCCAGCCACTGTAGTCCTCCCCAGGAAGGCACGCCCAGTGTCTCAGACCCCTTGCTTCTGTTGGCTAGGGGATGCTACTGCAGCACACTGGCAGCTACAACCCCTTCTTTCATGGGTGGGTGAGGGAAAGGGAGACTAGCCTTAAGAGGGTAGTAGAGCGCGGCTGACACAGGGAAGCGTGAGTGAAAACTGCTGTGAGGGGCAGCAATGGAGGCTGGGGTACTTGGCATAACAATAAAAACACATAGGCTGATGGGGCAGACTTGAGAGTCACAAATAAACGGACAAATGTGTCAAGAGAAGTTCGTAGAGAAGGAACAGCGAGTTTTTCCAAACAAGTGTGGCGCAGGTAGCTGGTTTCCATATGCAAAAGAATAAAGGGAAGCCCTTAACTCAGTCCACACCCCAAAAATACTCAAATGGATCACAAAGCTGTATCCAATTGCTAAACAGTGTTAGTCTGAGAGCAAAACATGGAGGCAAATGTTCAAAACTCTAGTTAAGCTTTTTTTTTAAAGATGCAATACATACAGTATAAACAAATGGGAGAGGGAGCAGAGGTTTTCAAAATAAAACGGGCACAGAGGTCCATGTGCTAGGTGATACCAGCAGCATCAGGAGGCTGAGGACATCCTTGATTATGAGTTCAAGCCAGCCTGGGCTATAAAAGACCTTATCTCAAACCCACCCACCCTCCAAAACCTTAAAGCCTACCTACTGTGTGCTTCAGAGGTCATTATCATGAGACAAAAAGAAACCAACAGAATAAGGAAAATATCAAAGTCTATGGCAATGTATGTGCACTGTGCCAAACACATGAAGAAACTTACAGTTCATAAAAAGGCATAACAAGGCAAATGATCGGATTTTTAAATGGAAAAAGGAACAAGACAATTCTCTCAGGTTGCATCATCCATTAATAAGCCACCCCACACCCACTTTAGGAGTGCTATAAAAAATAGACATTAAGCAGCTGCCAGGACTTGGAGAAACAACTCCTCCCGGGCTGATACAGTGTGTGTAAACGCACAGCTATGGTCAATTCTGTAATGCCTCTGACAGGAATTTAAGAGAATGAAAATCCATGCCCCCCAACAGATGCATACACATGTGCTCACAGGAGGCCTGTAAGGAAATTAACCTAAATGTCCATCAAATGGGCAAGCTGTGGTTATATGATGAAACATCATTCTGCTATAAGACCACCATAGGCAAAACGAGCACATCACAGCAAGTCAAAGATGCAACCGTCACCAAAGATGGCTTGGTATAGTAGTAGTTTCCTCAGGGAAGTGTCTTAAAATACAGGATGTTAAGGAGGGAGGAAGTTGTAAAGAGAGGTCAAACTTTCCATGCTGCAGGGACACCCCTCAAATGCATAAAGTAAACAACTCAAAACAGCTTCAAGAAGTTCCAGAAACTGGACAGATAGTGCAAGCTGCTCAGACAAGCGCAGTTGCCCGGAAAATGTTAATCAACAAATCACCTAGAAGATGCTCAGGCCAGCCAAGATGGGGGTGGAGGGACACAGAGCAGCTGTACCTCCCAGAAGAGTCCAGCAGAGCAGCCTAGAAGAGGCTCAGGCCAACTGAGCTACCCAGAAAAGACATTCTGGGGCGCTGACCCGTTTCACTAGTTACGCTGTATTTTCAGACTCCCAGCTTTCATGAGCTGTCACCTATAACTCCCATGGCTTTAGTGATTGACACAGCTGTCTCTGAGTCATTTCTGCTCCTAGAAGTAGCCTCCCACTCATATCACTCACCCCCACCTTTGGGGGAGGGGCGTTTCAAGACAGAGTTTCTCTGTGTGTAAAATCTCTGACTGTCCTGGAACTCATTTTGGAGACCAAGCTGGCCTCGAATTCAAAGATCTGCCTGCCTCTGCCTCCCGAGTGCTGGGATTAAAGACATGAGCCATCACCACCCGGCTCATTCATATTCTTTTAATAACTTCAATAGAACTCACTATTTCAGAGTTAGACTTTGGTGGTATCTGTACTTTGGTCTGTTGTTGGTTCCCTATCTGAGGTGAGTAGATGTTTTTTCAGGTCGCCCAAGGAATGGTGTCACACAACATAACACAGACTAAACTGACATCCATAAGAAATGCCCAGTGCAGGTGAATCTACAGATAAGAACTAAACTAGCAGTTGCTAGGGGTTGGGGAAGGAGGCAGAGTGACTGCCAATAGGAACAGGGTTTCTTTCTGAGCTAATGAAAATGTTCTAGTGCACACAGTGATGGTTGCACAACCCTGGGAATATAAACAAACCATTTAAAAGGTGAAGATGATAATATACAAATGAGCATTTCCATTCTGGCTGGGGAGATGATAGGTCAGTCAGAGACGTGCTTGCTGTGTAAACATGAGGATCCCCTGAGTCCATGGGGTTTTTGTGGTGGTTGTTTTTGCTTTTGTTTTTCTAAGTGTGGTGGCATACACTGTCACCCCATTTTTGTGGAGGCAGAGACAGAAAATGCCAGGAGCTTGCAGGTTACAGGTCACAGAGAAACCCTGTGTCAAAACAAATTTAAAACAGTGGATGGTGTTTGATTGATGGTTGGCATGAAAAGGCATTCTCTGGCCTCCACATGTATATATGTGGGCCTGCTTCCTCCCAACCTCCTAAATCGCTCCTTAAGAAATGTCTTCCAAACTGAATTCCTATCACTTCTTTTACATGCAAGAAGGTGAAAAGGTGAGTTATAGAATAAGAGAAAATGCTTGGAAATCACAAATATGGTAAGGGTACAGAAGTATGTATGTATGTTATAGTTCTCACATTTGAAGAACAACCCATTTCTTAAATGGGCAAAGGACTTAATGCATATTTTTTTGTCCAGAGATATACAAATGACCAATAAGTGCATGACCAGAGGTTCAATATCACCAGTTGTTAGAGGAACCCAAACACAACCACAATGGAATTCTATCTCTCTCCCACTGACACATACAGCTTTAACCAAAAGGATGAAGGAGGAATCTGTTTTACTAAGAATGGGAAGAACCCAGCATAGGGATGGAAAGTGGGGTGTGAGAAACAGTTAGGTGACTCCCTTAAAAAGTTAAAATGTAGGCTTGCCACCAAGTCTGTGTACCATCCCTGGAATCCATTTGGTGAAAGGCGAGAACTTACTCCTGAAAGTTGTCCTCTGACTTCCATATGTGTGTGCACACGTGTGCATGTACACACACACACACACACACACACACACACATGTACACAATTGTTGCTAGTTCATTATCCAAGTTGTTAATAATATACCTGGCCATCAATAGATGTGTGAAAAACAAAACACAATATGGTAGATAAATACAATGAGCTATTATTAGCCATAAAAAAGGAACAAGTTACTGGCAGATGACACAACAGGAATGAGTCCTAAAAGCATGATACTGAGTACCTGACTGAAGGCACCAAGACACAGAGGCCACATATTATATGTGAAATATCCAGAAAACAGTTAAATCCACAGGGGAGGGGAACCAGCTAAGAGGAGGAGGCTAAGTGACTCCTCGGTGAGTACAAGGGGCTCCTGGGAACAGGGGGAGATTCTTCAGAACCTGAGAGAGGTGACAGTTACAAGACACTGAATGTTGACGAACTGTACACTGGAACAGACCAAACCTCATATGCCAGGCAGTGGTGGCGCACACCTTAAATCCCAGGACTCAGGAGGCAGAGGCAGGTGGATCTCTGAGTTCGAGGCCAGACGGGTCTAGAGAGTGAGTTCCAGGACAGGCAGGGCTACACAGAGAAACCCTGTCATGAAGAAACAAAAGAAGACGAAAAAGAGTAACAACAGAATTTTATAGAAGGAGGCTATGGAGCGAGGGAGCTGGGACTCTGTCTGGAAGTTGGGCTGAAGCCTGAAGCAAAGTTTTTCTTTGGAGAGGAAGCTGGCCTGCACCCACAAGACGGACGGCAAGGATGAGCAGTGCACACTTGTTCTAGGATCTGACACCGTACCTCTCCCCGCCTCCCACTGCACCTGATCCACCTGAGGACCTAGAGTCACCCTCTTCCTCTGCCCTATGGAGGCTGCGCAGGCGCCTTGAGCCTCTTCCCGTACACATTACCAGCGGCTTTGGAAACCGCAAGGCCCAACACTGAAGGCAAAGGTCCAGGAAGGACGGCTCTCACCTTGGCAAGTTCCCGTCTCAGCTCATCTTGCTCCTCCTCCGACAGGTTCTCTGGGGCACTGAGCATGGCGACAGCATCCTCTCCTTCCTCGGCCACTGGCTCTGTCTTCAGCAGACCTGGGGGTTAAGGAAAAAAGGCAGCATGCCAAATGTGAAAGCTAAGCTAAATCCCCCTACAGCTGCTCCACTGTCCCAACTAGAACAAAGTCCTTGAGGTTACAGTCAAACACCTTCTTTCTGCATGTTGATGTGATATGGCTATCTTGGGGAAAGAGGAAAGAAAAATCTGGATAGCCAATAAAAACCACCGACTTAGAATGCCAAAACACACGCTGAAAAATATGCGGGTCTCTCAGCTTCCACTCATACTCTCAGTCTCCGTCTCCAAACAATTATGACAGCAGAAGAATGGGGTCCCACATCATCTACCTTTACACTAGACACAAGCATGCCCACAATCCCAGCACTCAGGAGGAGACAGGACAGTCGCTAGTCAAGACCATCTTCAACTAAAACCAAATTTAAGCCCAGCCTGGGCAACAGGAGATCCTGTCTCAACAAAACAAAAGCCTATCTTTAGAACGTTGCACAAATAAATCAGCAGAGAGTAGATGAAAGATTTTTAGCCCTGCACACCAGTCCACAGCAGAGGTGGTGTGCTCATTAGCTCCCTGTGCAGACAACCTCCATACAGGAGCAAGTCAAATGCCCTAATAGAAGTTAATTCTGCCTCCTTCCACGTGGGAGGGAAGGCAGGAAACTCGGTGCAGCTTTCCCTAGCCCTATACTCGCTGACATGAGCTTTAAGCACCGTGTCATGCGGTAGGACAGTACAGACCTGTGATCCCAGCGCTCAGGAGGCTGAGACAGGAGGCTGGGAGTTCCAAGCCAGCCTGGGTTCTACAGTCTCCAGGACAAACAGCTCTGTTTCTATGTGGAGACTTCTAAACCCATCGCGCCCCTTCCCTGAAACAGAGTCCCCTGTTGAGAAGACCTCATTCCTAAGAGGGGCCAGCGTGGCAACCATCTTCAGCGCTTACCTCTCCCTGCCCCGACTAAAGGCCAGCTCAGATAAAACACAGAGGAAAAAAATCAAAGAAGCCACCCAAAACCCACACAAGCCTGCTTTTACGCTCCAGCCGAGCATCAGCGGGGCAGGTCCTGCAGTCCTCGAGCCTGTCCTGCTTCCTGACTTCCTGACTATGGATGTGGTGTTAGGAGCCGCCACCTCAGGCTCCTAACACCAAGCCCAGGGTGTTTCCTCTCGACTAGGGAGCTACAAGAAGCCCTTCTCTTCTCAAGCTGCTTTTCTCAGGCATTTTCTCACAACAACGACAAGACAAACTAACACATATTTTAATTTGTAAAATCAAAGGGAATTCAAAGAATTTTCTTTGAGGCAAGGTCTCAATATATAGCTCTGGCTGTCCTGGAGCTCACTGTGTAAACCAGATTGGTCTCAAACTCATACTCACTTGCCTCTGCCTCCAGAGTGCTGGGATTAAGGTGTGGACCACCACCACACCCAGCCCAAAACAGTAAACTTGAGAAGAGAAAGGTTCCAGAGTGGCTCCGCATGGGTAATTCAGTCACTGAACTTGCCTTTTTTAACTTTTGATACTCTGTTATCACAGGTTTTGTTTGCACTGATTTTGACCTTTTCAAGATGCTGTATTGACGTATGATTTGATTACTGAGTTTTCTAGTGCCCTCTCTCTTAAACCGTACACCTGTGACTCACCCTAGCCACAGCCTAGCCACCCATTCCCAGCATCCCCAGCTCACAGACTGATGCACTGAGAACTAGGGAAGGCTTCCTCCTCTTCCTGTAAGTCTACGCCACTCCCTGCCACGCTGCCCCTCCTGGCACGATGCCAGCCAATGGATGAAGGGCACATGGACAGGCCGGAAGAAACAAACACACACTGCTGAACACATAGCCAGTACCACAATACATGTAAGAAGAGTACGTGCAGCAGTGAGATCCATGTGTAGCCATGTGCACATTACAGAGGCACTTGACATGGGGTTTGTGGCGTACTAACTTTTAAAGGTAATTAACAATTATAATAATCATTAGCGTGGCGGTACCAAAACAGTGGCCCACGCACAAGAACTATTAAAGGAGCGAAAGTAACACAAACAAGCCTGTTCGGAAACTACACTTAGAACTGACAAGCAGCATTCAAGCGTGTTTTCAGAAGCAGAGACACAATCAAGGGGTGGCAAAGCTCACTGAGTGACAGCTTTTGTACCTTCAGGAAAGCCAAAGAGACCAGGTATGTGGCAGGGAGTCCCCACATGGAGGCCCGAAAAGACCATTGAGTAAAGCTTGAAGGTGAAGCCTGGATTGCCTGGACAATATTGGCGATATCAGAGATGCGGGATACTTGCCAAGGAGAGCTGTGTACAGGGTTGGAGCCAGCCCAAGGGAGAGAAGTGTTCTGCAGCCAACAAAGCTGGAGGGCAAGAGCCGTCTAATGGCCTCCCAGCATCAGGCACAGCGTTGTGTGACTTGGGTTGCCCGGCTGGGCTGGAGGGCAAGAGCCGTCTAATGGCCTCCCAGCATCAGGCACAGCGTTGTGTGACTTGGTTTGCCTGGCTGGGCTGGAGGGCAAGAGCCATCTAATGGCCTCCCAGCATCAGGCACAGCGTTGTGTGACTTGGGTTGCCCGGCTGGGCTGGAGGGAAGAGCCATCTAATGGCCTCCCAGCATCAGGCACAGCGTTGTGTGACTTGGTTTGCCTGGCTGGGCTGGAGGGGAAGAGCCATCTAATGGCCTCCCAGCATCAGGCACAGCGTTGTGTGACTTGGTTTGCCCGGCTGGGCTGGAGGGGAAGAGCCATCTAATGGCCTCCCAGCATCAGGCACAGCGTTGTGTGACTTGGTTTGCCTGGCTGGGCTGGAGGGCAAGAGCCATCTAATGGCCTCCCAGCATCAGGCACAGCGTTGTGTGACTTGGGTTGCCCGGCTGGGCTGGAGGGCAAGAGCCATCTAATGGCCTCCCAGCATCAGGCACAGCGTTGTGTGACTTGGTTTGCCTGGCTGGGCTGGAGGGCAAGAGCCATCTAATGGCCTCCCAGCATCAGGCACAGCGTTGTGTGACTTGGGTTGCCCGGCTGGGCTGGAGGGCAAGAGCCATCTAATGGCCTCCCAGCATCAGGCACAGCGTTGTGTGACTTGGGTTGCCCGGCTGGGCTGTGGTCTTACTTTGGCCCAGTATTTCCTCACTATCCTCCCCTTTCCCTCTTCTGGCATGACCTGCATATTCAGTCCCATGGTATGTTCAAAGTATGTGATCTGCTTTTTGATTTTGATTTTATAGGGGTTAGAGTTGAGCGTTTGCCTCAGACTGAACTTGGAACTTTTAAACAGTGTTGAGACTGTGAGAGACTATGGGGACTTTTGAAGCTGGACTAAATGCCTTTTACATTGTGTTACGGCTTCCGTGGGGGCAGGAAGTGGAATGTGGTGGTTTGAATGAAGATACCCCCCCATTGGCTCATATGCCTGAATGCTTGGTCCCTAGCTGGTTGGAGCTGTTTGGGAAAGACTAGGAAGTGTGGCCTGGTTGAAGGAAGTGTGTCACTGGGGGGAGCTTTCAGGTTTCAAAAGCCCACACCAGGCCCAGCATCGGTGTGTCTCCGCCTGCTGCCTATGGATCAGGATGTAAAGCTCTCAGTGACTGCTCTAACGCCATGCCTGTCTGCTTCTAGACACAGTGGTCATGGACGAAGGCTCTGAAACTGTAAGGAAACCCCCAATGAAACATTTTGTTTGTTTTTGTTTTTACGAGACAGGGTTTCTCTGTATTGTTTTGGAGGCTATCGGTCCAGCCTGGCCTCGAACTCACAGAGATCCGCCTGCCTCTGCCTCCCAGGTGCTGGGATTAAAGGCGTGCGCCACCACTGCCCAGCTCCAATGAAACATTTTAAGAGTTGCCTCGGTCATGATGTCTCTCTCGTCACAGCAACAGGACAGTATCCGAGATGAGTCCCCTCCAAGACATCTTGGAAGGATTGTTCAAGTAACTATTTCTATAGCAGACATCTCATCTCCAGTTTTAAATCTTTCCATACTTCCTTGTTTTACAAACGCAGTCCAGCCTTCAGGTCAGCATCCCGCCAACGGGGCAGCTCCTGCCTTTTGCAATGGCACCCACACTCCAACACCAGCCCGATCCGATCACTGTGAAACAGGCTGCTACTATGCCACGTATTGTCGGGACCAGAGCCTGTGTGTGTTCCTGTGTGGCAAGAGCAGCAAGGGACTGAGGATGGAGACCAAGCGTGTGAGCCGCCATCAGTCAGTGCAACATAAAGCTAAAATCGTCATTTGATTCCATCTTAATGTTTTGCTCAGGACTAAGTTCTTGATGACCCTGGACTCAAAGAGCATGAGCAGAATTCAAGTACTAAACTTTGCCTCCTGAAGTAAAACCTCTTCCATACTTTTAAATAAACATTATTTTGCAAGTCTAAATAGGCAAGGAGATAGACACAGTCAAACTGCTAATGTATGGGGGAATATCAATTCCAAAAGAGAACCAAAGAGGATGCTGGCATAGGGTGGGAATACTCAATATGAAAACCATTACAATTTCTTGGTTTCGGGTTTTTCAAATGAGGCATCTTCAATCAGTAAAGTCTACAAACACATTCCATAACCCAAACAACAACACAAACAAAAAAAAATATTAGAATACATGTAGCCCCAAATTTCTCAGATAAGGAGTCTTAGGGTTTCTATTGCTGTGAAGAGACACCACGACCATGGCGACTCTTATAAAGAGAACATTTAATTGAGGAGACAGCTTACAGTTTCAGAAGTTCAGTCCTTTATCTTCACAACAGGAGCATGGCGGTATGTGTGTAGATGTGGTACTGACTACATCTGGACCAGAAGGCAACAGGAAGCTGACTAGTTATCACAGGAAGGGAAGCTTGAGCAAAAGAGACCTCGAAGACTACCCCCACAGTGACACACTTCCTCCAACAAAGCCACACCTCCTAATAGTGCCACTCCCTTTGGGGGCCATTTTCTTTCAAACCACCACATAAGAGATATTCAAATATTTTAACTTTATTTATTTATGTATGGGTGTTCATTTACATGTA